TGAATCTAATTCTACCCACTTTCCAATCTTTTTCTAACCTAAATTGATATTTTAGGATAAAGTCTTAAGGAAATAACTGATTAAATTAAAAGAAATAAATTCTCGCCTAGCTTAGATGTTAGTAAGATTAATTAAATGAATATCTCAATTGAAATAAGAAACCTAATGAATAAGATGCTTAGCTATTGAGATTAGATGCATCCTGAAATTAATAGTATATATGAAATATTAGAATAATAAATCTCTCGGTAAAATAATTAAACCAAAATTCCTTGTGCTTCCCCAAAAGAAAGAAGGGATCCAAATGTATTAGGAAGTCAACAAGTAAGTGATTCAAACTAACAAATTTAAAATCACCTGACTCAAGTTAAATAACTGTCTCAAAAAGTTTTATGTAATCTCTAATAAATTGTAATGTTGATTGATAAATAACTCAAATTATAACAATAACAACTAGAATCAAATTTCCATAGTAAACTAATATAATAACAATAATAACTGGAATCCGATTTCGAAAAAAACTCAAGAATTAGAATAAAAGCTATTAGAAAAGTAAATTTTATTCGAAAAATCTAAACCTAATGAAGAATAAAATCAATAAAACTTTTAAAAGCAATTAGAGATTTAAAAAGTTTAAGATTCAATCACCGAATAAAACTAACAATAATAATCATAATACATAAATATGAATTATTACAGAAAGTATAATAAGAATAAAATTAAGCAAAAATTTTAATTGAAAAATTTGGGGAAAATATAAAAGTATAGGTTTTAAGATAAACTAATTTAAAGAACAATATTCTAATTTAAATGCTTAATAATATGCATAAAGTCAGGAATCAAGTGTAATAATAAAATTAGAGGAAAAGATTAATTTCATCCGAACTTAAATAGAAAAATTATCTAAATAAGAATCAATTAATAAAGGTGCTTTTGATGAAAAGGTTAATAAGATAGATTCTTAAAAATAGTCAATTCAATAAGAAGATTTACATCATGAATCAATTGTTATAAACTCATTGGAGAAAAAAGTAAATTTAATCGAATATCAACAAAACTAACTTAAAGAATATATTTATAATTTATAAGTTCTTTGAGGATGAAAAAGAATGCCAGAATTGCAAAAGCTGAAGGAGATAAAGCTTTGGCCGAGTTTTTAAAAAAGAAAGATAAAGAAAAAATTAGATTAACATTTAAAACAGTTGAAGAGGAACAAAGAGATGTTGATAAGGCATTAGGGAATATTTGATTATCAATTTGACATAGCAAATTTAAAAGAGACATTAAAATCTATTTATTGGCAAAAGAATTAATTTAATTTATAAGTAAATTAACAGATCAATGTTTAATTAAATTAAACTACATTCAAAAAAATGTTTAATTCATATCATCTATAGTATCTATTTAATTATTATTCTTTTTTATCATTTCTATCCTGTTCAAATATTCACATTATTATCATTTAATTTAGCAACACACATATATGGTTTATAAATTTTATGGAACGTTTACAATAAGATTTTTATTTTTCTATTTGATATTTTATTTAAAAAATTTATAAATTTAATTGATTATTATTAAAAAAGTCAGTTTAATTCTTAAAAACTAAACAATAATTCTATCTTTCAATAGATATTCAAAAAAATAAATACTAATTCTAAAATTCTAATCAAATTTACTCTTAGTAAATACTGATAATCATAAAACTCAAAAAGATAAGTTTTAATTTTGAAATAATCATTAAGGAAAGCTGATAAATCATATAGTATAAAATTTATCATCTATATTTTATCCTGAACATGACAAAATCTCTAAATTTTGTTGAAAATTATTTTTGTACATTGGTCCAATTAGGTTATTTATATTTACTTTATATTAATGATTTGATGTTTCTTCATGCAAACAATACAATATGGATATTCAAACTGAAAAATAAATAAAAATAATTAAATAACTTCATTTTTTTATTAGAAGTGATCAATAGAATAGAAGAATTTTTAAAATTTTGGGTCAATAAAAATTTATTCGATAATGTTCTTTAAAAAATTAATCTACAATAAATAAATAGATTTCAAACAAATATGTATTTTATGCTAATTATTTCAATATAAATTATCAAGGGCTTATAGGGAAGATATTTTTATTTAATAAATATCTTCAGATTATAATTTATTAGTAAATTTTAGATGAAAATATGTTAAATTAAATATTAATTTAAAAAGACTTTTTAACAAATAATTGATCAGTCATATTAAATTTATTAATGAGCTTAAAAATTTTGTATAAGATATTCTTAGATATTAAATTTAAAAAAATATACTAATCATTTGTCTTAAGAAGGATAAATTATTTGTTTGAAAAAATAATAATTATTAAAATATTTTATAAAATAAATAAATAAATTCTAATTATTAAATTAATTTTCATTTTCTTAAATGGACATCAATCAATATGATGAATAGCAACATTTTATCCCTTAGATTTAATTAAACGACGATTAAGATTATAATAGAGAATTATAGTGATATTAGTTAATTGATGGTTTTAGTTGGATGACATTATTAATGTGTATAGTGTTTTTTTTTTCCTTGGGGCATTTTTTTATCTTAAATATCTTGTTATAATGAAGATTAGCCTGATGAATGCATCATAATTATTAAAATAATTTATTATTACTCATAATACTTAAATACTTATATCTGGACTTGATAGTTTAAATTTATTTATTGAATTAAATCATAAAGTATTATATTTTTTATTATTATATGTTGTGTATTTCTAATTTAAATTTGAAATAAAAAGAAGTTAATAAATAGGTAATTATAATTTTTATTTTATGATTAATTGTTAATTTTTATTTTTATGCCTATAATAGAAATAATAATAATTAATAAAACCTTGTGCATTGATATTGGAAACAACATGAAAATAATTATTGAAACAATAGGTTTTCCTGTGGTTACTTTATTTTTGGCTTTTAATATTGAAATTTTATGAAAGTAATTTATATATTAAAGTTATTTTAAAATAAACTCAATAAAATTTATTAAATTTATTTTCTTTTCATTATGTTGAAAAAATTATAATTGTGAACTAAAAGAAATCCATTTGAGTGGAGAATAGGGAAATTATGTTAAACATATAGATCTTATAGATTTAAGAAGTAGAATAGGTTTGATAGGTAAAAAATAGATGTAAATGAAGGTGAAATGATAATTAAATTAAAGAAGGCTAATGCCCTAGAAATTATAAAAAAAATGAAATAAGGATTAAAATATATTAGTATCAAAAAAGTATTGCATTTGCTAGGTTATCTAAAAATACTAAAATTTTATAATTAAATGAAAAAAAATGTTTTAGATAGAACTAATAAAAGATAAAAATAATAGCTAAGGATATTACTACTATAACTATTTAAAATGCATAAATAATTTATTTTTTTAAAATGGAAGAAAGGTTTTTGAATAAGGAAATACAGTAAGTTATGATTATTATCGAATATTGTTAAGTGATGCTTCTCATTTTATTTTCTTACATCATGTATTCCAGATAAAATTTCTATACATACTAACCTATTCTACATCTTGAAGCGTATCTTTTGTCTTTATTCTAGATAGTAAATCTACTTTATTGTCAATAAAAGAACCTGGACCCAAATTAAATCTGACTTTTGTTATTTAACCATCGAAATTAGCATAATATTTACCAGCATGACCAACAGAAAAGTATAGACAGTTTGTTAATAAAGAATTTAAAACATCCATTTTTAATCCTTCAATATAATCTTTAAATAGAGTAAAAGCTATTGCATGTCCTTCTTATTAAGTATATCTCTTATAACTGAATTATAAATATTACCATTCTCCTTCAGTCTCTCTTTTGTATTCAAGATCACCTCCAACATCGTTTGTTTTGGTTGTAACATCATCTGTTCCAAAAGAGAAAACCTTTCATCACATCACAATTAGATGATCAAAATCTTTATAATTCTTATTATTATTTAATCTCGCAATTTCCATTAATTAAGGTTCTGTATAACAAAATAGACCTAAAT